AGATAACTCAACTTCTTCTTCTGCCCTCTCTCTGACTTTCTTTCCTCCCTCCTCCTCTCTGAGAAGCCACTTCCGCAAAAGAGCGGCGACGTCATCTGGTTGTTGTGTGCACGCGCCTGAAGGCTTGGTGGTGCTGCACCTGGAGTTAGTTAGAGCGCGGGTTCTGACTGCAGGGCCAAAAGTTTGTGGTTGCTTCTGTTGTAAGCAGGACACAGACACCTGATGGTGTTCTCTAGGTCACTGTGTTTTGTTTATTACTTAACGAAAAACAACAACATGTTATTTTTTTCAAAGCTAAATCTCTTTTCAGTTTTATTATTTGGTATCTGGATCCTGTGTAATCCCATTATTATTATTAGGGATGCACGATATTATCGGCATGGTATCGGATGATTTTTTTTTTATTTTTTTTTATTTTTATTTTTTATAATTAGCTCAAATTTCTGTGACTTTTTTTTTTTTTACCTTATTGAACTACTGAACATACAGAACAAAAGAACACAAATAGAACAACAAATGACAATCTCAAATTACAATGATACATATAAACATATACAAATATCTACAATCATACCTCCTAAGGTCAACATATTCTAAAACGAATTATCATATCAACCATCATAAACTTAAAAATTAGGTAATAATACTATTTGAGAGTTTGCAAATAATATAGTACAGTAAATTAAACAACTAACTATTTATCTAAGAATCTACATAATTACTAAAATAATTTGTCAGTGGGCTATATTATCTGAGCGAGGTGATCAGAGAATATCGGCTGATATTAGCTTTAAAGTTAAATATCAGACATCGGCCATTCCATCAAAATAACTCACCGATAATGGAAATCCCTTCACGATCTTCTGACCATAAAATCCATGAACATAGACTCCTTCTGTCTTCAAAATGTCTTATATGGATATGTATCTGAAAATAAAAAAGATGAACACTTTGATGGCAAGTCTAAGCCATTATGGTCTGTATTCATACAAGAACTCCAGGTGTTAAAACTTTCATTGGACAGTGCTAAAAAAAAAAAACACGTGCAAAAAAGCTCTGATCACCTCACAGCCCTGTGACAAATTATTTTAGTAATTATGTAGAATGCTAGATATATAGTTCTGTATTTTTTTAATTTACTTGTACCACATTATGTGCAATCTATTTGATAATAATATTACCTAAATTTAATTTTATGATGGTTATGATAATTTGTTTAAGAATATGTTGAATTTAGGAGGTATGAAAATAGATATTTTTACATGTTTATATGTATCATTGGAATCTGAGATTGTCTTTTATTCTGTTCGTGTGTTCACTTGTTTTGTATGTTCAATTGTTCAATTAAAAAAAAAAACTCATCGATATAAAAGGCGCTGATTTTGTATGACAACCCAGCGACAAGGATGCCTGCAGCGCCAGCGCAACGTGATGACGTCACGCGTGCCTACCTGATCTCATAGATATATCTGTGCCTGATCTGATCACGGCGGAGAAGAAGAAGAAGTCAAAATGCACTATGCACTACTAATGTGCTTTTAACTTGTCGTTTGTGAACAGGTTGTGTTTAGATTTGTGAAAATTTACAAATTTGCACTGAGTGTTGTCATTGTGTTAGAGTAAATGTCATGAATAAATTAAACATAATCCAAGTTGAAGTGTTGCATCATTTTTAGCCTCCTTTTTGGCATCTGTATATCACATCGGTATCAGTTATCAGCCAAATAAGTTTTAACATATCATCAGCATATCGGATTATTATTATTATTATTATTTTCCCTTTCGGCTGCTCCTTTCTTCAGGGGTCGTCACAGCGAACTAAGTCGCACGAAGACTTGGCAGTTATTTTTACGCCGGGTGCTCTTCCTGACACAACCACAGACCACCGAGCTACCACAGCCCTCTGTGTGGAGCAGAGAGCTGCTATCTAGGACACCCGGAGGAGCAGATGGTGGGGGTTAAGGACCTTGCTTAAGGGCCCAGAGTGGGAGGAATGAGGGTGGGGGCAGGTGTGGGTGCTTCACCTACCCTACCCACATTTTTTGATGTTGTTGGTACCCGGGCTTGAACCGACGATCTTCCGATCACAAACCCACCTTCTCTAACCTCTGCGCCACCACTCCCATATCAGCAAAATCCAATATCATGCATCCCTAATTCTTTTTTTTTAATTATTATTTTTATTATTGTAGCTGTTGTTGTTGTAATAAAAATAACAGTAGTATGTATAGTTGTAGATGTAGTCGTTGAAGTGGATTTAATTTTAATAGTAATAGTAGTACAAGTAATAGTAGTAGTAAAGTGTTTGTAGTTGTGGTAATGGTAGAATAATAGTATTAGTAGTAGATGTAACTATATTAGTAGAATTTATGTTATTAGTAGTATTAGGAATAATTAATATAATTACCAGGGAAATCACTGTAATGCCACTTTAATTGGTGAAATGTGACATGCTGCTGATTTCTTGAGCTGCTGTATTCATACACCTACTCACAACAGACTCATGTTCAGGCTGCTGTTTAATATACCATATTATTTTACATTAGTAGTGTTTAGCTTGTATCTTAGATCCTTATATACTGTTTCTTTTTATATTAGATTATTTATTTTTTTTGCTATTTTGGGGTATGTCTAAAGGACCTTGAGTACACATATTCATTCCACCTCATGTACCACATGTGATGCGAAGGACAATAAGGGTCCTTGAACCTATTAGAAGTTATAGATCAGGGGTGTCAAACTCACTTACAAAAGGGGGCGAAAATTTATATATATACAAGACCTTTTCAAAAAATTAGCATATTGTGATAAAGGTCATTATTTTCCATAATGTAATGATAAAAATGAAACTTTCATATATTTCAGATTCATTGCACACCAACTGAAATATTTCAGGTCTTTAATTGTTTTAATACTGATGATTATGGCATACAGCTCATGAAAACCCAAAATGCCTGTCCCAAAAAATTAGCATATTTCATCCCACCAATGAAAGACAAGTGTTTTTAATACAAAAAACGCCAACCTTCAAATAATCATGTTCAGTTATGCACTCAATACTTGGTCGGGAATCCTTTTGCATGAATGACTGCTTCAATGCGGCGTGGCATGGAGGCAATCAGCCTGTGGCACTGCTGAGGTGTTATGGAGGCCCAGGATGCTTCGATAGCGGCCTTAAGCTCATCCAGAGTGTTGGGTCTTGCGTCTCTCAACTTTCTCTTCACAATATCCCACAGGTTCTCTATGGGGTTCAGGTCAGGAGAGTTGGCAGGCCAATTGAGCACAGTAATACCATGGTCAGTAAACCATTTACCAGTGGTTTTGGCACTGTGAGCAGGTGCCAGGTCGTGCTGAAAAATGAAATCTTCATCTCCATAAAGCTTTTCAGCAGATGGAAGCATG